TGCAATCAACTGATTGAAAAAATAATCTCCAATTTGAAAATGTGCTAAGAACCTATCGATCATTAATACGAACCTGTATGACCATGCGATCGAACAATTCGATATTGAGGTGCGTTCGAGAATGAGATATTATTCGATCTCAAATAGTCAATGAATGCCTGATTATCAATTGGATCCGGTGCCACAAGCTCAGATCTGGATTGGCTTGGTGTCCTGTAATCCGTCGATAACCCCAAATACTTCTCAAACCATGCACGACAATCTGGCATCGTTTTACCGCACATATCATATCTAAATTTCTCCTCATCATAAAGTGTTCGTTGATCACTATTCAAATGATTTCAATGATAATTTTCAACTCTCACATGCAATCACAATAGAATTACACGAGACTGCATGAGAATTGCGACGAGGCAATTGCTTGCCAAGGTCGTTTCACTCTTACGATAGGTTTTCAGTGAGCATGCGCATTTATGCATTCACTAAAAATATTTGACAATAGACTTGTCGCAACCAAATGTGCTCATATCTCTTTGAAAACGTTTAGTTTAGAAATTANTCAGTTAGCATATGAATTGACGTATTATCAGTGAAAACAGCTGCATGTAGTCGCGCTTGAAAAAAAAAACGACAGCAAACTGCAACATTCTTATGTCAACAAATTCCTCCAGTTTCCATTTCAAATGCATTCACTGTAAGGATTTCATGACGAAATTCCCATTCTAGAATCACAAAATCTTTGCCAGTGTCTTGCGCTATTGTGGCATAAACTCTGATTTTGAAGGAGTTTGCTCTGCTGGCATATCCTTCAGACAACAAACCTTTTTCCGATAAAAGTGATCTCGTCATGTTCATTAAGAGCAAACGCCGAGTCGCTATAACCCCATCCGTTCCATTTCAAAATTTTGTCTCTGAAATTTTGTGTTCATTTATTCATTCAAATGAAATATCCAAATACAATTGGCTATGACACTTAATGCTTTCGGCATTTCAATCTGAACTCCAAAACATGTGCGAATGAATCTGACGAATGATATTTTGTCATGTTTTGAGTGCTTTCAATGATATTTTGAAAACTGAACCAATACAATTATCGGTGAATAAACAAAAAACACGGAAAACATAATGAAGTTGTAGAAACAAATAAAAATTAGTGCAATCAATAACAAATTAAATAACAAAATTACAAACAAATAACAAATTAAATTAGTTGTACAAATNTGAGGTACGTTGTATTGTTGAACCGAAGTCATGCTGAACGAGAAGATGCAACTGGACGATGTTCACTTCGAATGTGTAATAAGAAATCAATTCTGAACTTGCGAGCAATGCGCAGACTGACGAAATACTCGCACAGTGACCCTTTCAAGAACTCGTTTTGAGAATCTAATCAACAAATATGTTAATTTGTTTTTATTCATAGCCGTTCTTGAGCAATCTTATCACGAACGTACGTCATTTATCGTCTTTATTGTTATTGTTAGCGTTACATGAATAAGTTCATCGATGCAACAATAATGCACTAACACATCAAAATTCACTAATTTCAATTTGTTTTCTTCACTGCAAATATACGAATGAACAAAATTTCAGTCCGATCACAAATCGAAAGTACTCGATGAATTGCTAACATCAATCAAATTCAATAAATTTTATTGAAATACATTTGTAAGAAACTCATCAGAATGGTCAATAAATACAATAACCGAAATGAACGAAACTGAAAAGTAATTGTATCGAGCGAAAAATTTTCATCAAATCACCAGCGAAAACATGAAAACATTCAGCTGATACGCTGAGAAGATCTCATTCGAAAATCGCACAGACTTTCCAAACA